GAGATATGGTCTTCAAATGCTCACCTAATCAACAGGAGTAGTAGAGGGCCTGAAAAATCAATTCCATTGTTTCATCTACCACTGTTCCCGCCAGCTGGGCACTCAAGGATTTTTAGGATGTTTTTTTCAATACTGATGTTATCATTTCACTGGCTGTACATAAATCCTACCTTTCAATCGCTGAATTATATATAAAGTCAATCCATCAAAATACCAAGGGTACAGTATTCTTGATTTGCAATAATCTTAAAATACAAGGGAAAAGATTAAGGAGCAGTAATTATTTAAGTAATTAATATTCTGTAAACAGTTCCGTGAACAGCATGCTGATGTCCTCAGACTACAGATTCTTGAAATCGATCAGGATTCCATAACTACTAACAGTTAGAACTTGCAGTCTGCTAGGAAAACCTGCAAACCGTATTTTTATGTGTTAAAGAGCACACTATTAGTCTTTATCATATAAATACTACCACTGGGACTACCGAAAGCCGATTAATATGGACACCTGGAAGCCAAATGACTATTTCTAAATACTTCACAGTTTCTTTTAAACACATTTTATACCAGTGAAGGCAGTGAAGCAATGCCTGCAGTAGAATACAGTGTTACATGTACTCGTGTATTTTTCCCGAAGGAAGCACCTAGATGTCTGCTAGACAAAGGCCACAGACCTTTCAGTCATCACGCTGAATCTGAGAACTCATTTTACCCATTGGCCACAGCAGCTAAATTCTGGAGAAGGGTGAAAAGAAGACTGCTTCCTTAGCATGGAAGAATTGGGAATAACGAGGAACTGAAAGCTTTATCTTTTTCTCCAGAATAACCTCGTATTTCATCCTTAGATCTCAAACCCTGAAGAACTGTTTCCTGAAGAACTCCCAAGTCTTAGTGAGTTTCACTGGATAATGATAGGACCTAAGTTACTGCTGTTCCACCTGAACCTGCACAGCCAAAGTACTTTGAGACAAAATACCACCTTAAGTAACACCTAAAATTATACAGCCTTTGCAATTATTTAACTCTCAGAGAGGAATATTTCCTGTCTTCAGTAAACATCAGCCTGGGTCCATTTCAAAAATCATGATCCTGTCCTCAAAAAACAACTATGAAATGCAGGAGTCACACGGTATTAATCAGCTCTTTGTTACTGTAATTCAAAACCACATTACTTATTTTTAGTGACTGAGTTATGTGATCACTGTGATCAGAAGTTTCCCCTTTGTTTCCCCTTCCACATTACTGACAAAATGAAGTGCCACAAGCAAAGGATATTATTCAAATGTTTCATACATCCAATATATCCAACATCAGTTTTTATTTTTCAGCTGATGATCGATGAATGATATCATAATTAATAAACCCTCGGTCCCGAGATCCAGTATGTTCATTTCTTTCAAGTGTACTCTTCATTTTTTGTAAGCTTTCAGGTTATGAACCCACAAAGTGTACCACAAAAAGAACTCTCACAGAAATAACATGTTAAAACTCAAAATGCACTGAAAATCAACTTGCATGCTTTATATTAAACACAGGGAAATAAATTACAAAGAAACTATAAATGTAATCAAATTTTTAAATACGAATTTCAAAAAACGCGAGTAATGAAAAATGTTATTGAAAAAAAGGAAAAAACAGCTAGAAGAAAAATGTTTTTATCAAGGTTCAAGAATTCTACCAATTGCTTCAGCAGTGGAAACTTACCAAATAAAGGCAAAGCCTTCACAGAGCAGAGGAGATAGTGCAAGAAACTTGGAAGAGGACAGAACTTTCTACTGAAACCCAGAACTGAAATAAATTATCTTACACTGCTTTGTATAGTCTGGAAGCTGCTGCAACCACGGCCTCAAACAAAAGTTTAGGCATGGTTCCATGGGATACAGAAAACAATCCAACATTCAACCCCTCTAACAACACTTCTATATGCGCTTGCATAAAACATCAATGGATTATTTGGACAAGATCATAATTACATTCAAAAGGGGAGAAAGCATTTAAATATGCCTGTATTGAGAAGTGCATTGTAAGAAAGTTTAATAAAAATGCCTCCATGCTCCAGTCTTTCCAACCACTAACAGGAAAGAAACAGAGTTTTCCTTGCACATTTCCTGGTTTCAAAGACAGCACCATGTAAAACCCCGAAGGATATTTCAGACAACTGAGAAACTCCAGTGCTTACATGCTTTGCTGGAACAATCTCCAATACGCAAAGCAATAAACATAGACAAGCAAGGACATCAGTAATCTCTATTCAGTAACATGGTGAATGGATTAAATTACTCCTTATAGAGTCCTTAGGATTCACATGTTTCTAAAAGTAAATATCTTACTATCAGGTGAGGACCTCACGGTAAGATACATTTAGACATCATATAAATACTCTGATATGTTTCACAATTATATTGAACATAGACTCTAAAACAAGCATTAGGCAAGTAAAAAATAAATATGAATTTCCCTCATACCTATCAATCATCTGGGTTTGTGACAATAAAATTAGCAGGTTTACAGTCTTTGGCAGTCTACATTACTTTCTGAGTCCCCAGAACTAGAACAGGACTGTTGTCCTGGCTTTCCCAGCATTGCAGAGAAATATTTAACCTTTTAGAAATCTTATTCTCATAACAATGTTTTTAAAAGCATCAAATAGTTTCTCAAATGTGCTTTGTTTTAATGTTTTACTAAAGAAATACTTGCAATACAAATGTTTCTTATAAACGGAAAGTGAGGCGCACAGTGGTTTTGACCTAGACACACCTTTCCCGTATTCTTGGGCCCAAATCATTTGACAGAAAAAGAGCGCTATGTTAGTTTGACCAGTGTTTTAAAACTACGTCCACTCAAGGGTCCGTTTTGACAAGGCTTCTGCAGAATTCTTCCCCTTCCTTCAACAGAATGCAAATTGAGCTCTCTGTTTAAAACTATTAACATCTGGGGGAAGAATTTCTAAAGCAAAATCCTCGGTGATTAAGACTTACATAGTAAAGCCACAAAACTGTAGTTATAAAAAATGTGAAAAAAAAACCAAATACAGAAAGCTTTCAAAGTTACTGTTCACATAAAAGAGAAAAAATTTTCATATATTTTTCTTAAAACTGAAAAATCCCAAAACTTACAACCTCTGTAGCTTACATCCTCATGTTAATTTTGCAATCATTCGTTAGAACATGCAATACTTCTACTGAAACTACTGCATTAGAATTTCATAGACAGATTTGACTGTGAAGACCTGGTTATCCAAAGTCTAACATGAAGACAGTACACTGCTAATATTTAGGTCTATAAAATATCATGTAGTGGAATTAATATTTCTGTACAGGAAAGAAACAGTTATTTAGTTCCAGACAACTTGACAACATCTCTTTCAACTACAGTTATAATTATCATGTACAAACTTCCAAAGCAGAAGTTGTCAAGATTTAACATTAGCATAAATTTATGTCAGGCATCCATTTCTCCAAAGACAGCAAGAATCGAAAAGGAAGTATCATCTTAATTGCCACTAATCTGCCCATTTTTAATTAACTCGATCGGTAATTTATTATCTTAGCCAGTGGCAGAAAGCTGTTAGCATGCAGCTTTAAGAAACTGCATATAGTAGACCTTCTAATTTCTAATACTATCACAGTTCAAAAATAACTTAAAACTGCTGTACCGTATTTCTTTCAATTCCTGCACAGCATGATACGCACATTCCATTTAAAACCCTCCTGAAGTACTCTAGAGCATAATCATAGAATCATTTGGGTTGGAAGATACCCTAAAAACCATAGAGTCCCACCATAAACCTAACACTGCCAAGTCCACTAGTAAACCATGTCCCTAAGAGCAATGTCTATGCATCTTTAAATACCACCAGGGATGTGACTCAACCACTTCTCTGGGCAGCCTGTTCCAATGCTTGATAACCCTTACAGCAAAGAAATTTTACTTAATATCCAAATTAAGTCTCCCCTGGCACAACTTGAGGCCACCCAGCCTACAGGCACTCTTCTCATGTTTCGTAGTCTCATGTTCCAACACAGGTGTAGGATCTTGATCCTACTTTAGCGGCACATGATTTCCCTGCCAAAAATGGTTAGAAGATTCGATTCCAACATGGTTCAGGAAGCACTCTGCACTCAAATCACATTATTAGGTCTTATATGCAAGTTAATTTTTTTCTTAAACTGAACAAAAAATAAGCCTGAAGTTTTTAGGTTCGTGAATCTCAATTCTCATTTCAGTGGTGGAAAGGAGGCTAGAAAATGTTCAGAACTTGAATTGAAGGCTAAAAATATCTTTAAATAAAGTGTCTACCAGGTTGATCAATAAATTAAATCAAGTACTACATAAAACATTTTGGAAAAGAACAGAGACAAAATTTCAAGTGTTTCAAGAAATATGCTCATTATCTCCTTTTAATTGGTTTTATAGCTAAAAAGGACTGATCTATGTTAAGGCTATTATGTCATACATTAGAACATAGTTACAGGGCTACCACAATCAAAACTGTCATTGTAAAATACTCTGTAATACTTTGTGAATGATCTGCAACAAACAAACAAATAACAGATTCTGGTTTACAGAGCGCAAGTGTACACAAATGGAAACGTCTAGACATTACTTTCCACACATTAATAAATGCACAAAACCCAAAAGATCTCTCATTCCAGTAATCAGGCAATGCATTATTTAAAATAAGAAACTACATAAATATTTTATTTATAGATACTTTTTGCAATTATGTTCTTTGTATGCCAAGGACCTGTTGCAGGTGATTTTATTAAATAGGAACAAGGTTTTTGGCTTGAAATGGAGATTAGTAAGTCTGATTTACACTGGGGAAGAAGGAATACAGTTATGCTATATATTTACAGTGCCAGGAAGAACAAAGGAATAGAAAGAAAACTTGTAAAACTGTTTATCTTTTTCTCAAAGCTTTCCTTAAATATCTAAGTGAATAATTTACTTAAATTAATAATTGTCCCAAATTCTTGCATCCTTTTCATTCAGCATACCTTAACAAGCTTCATGAGGTGGTAAAGGTCTTCAACCTCATCTTCCTGACACGTGGTATACACTCTTCCAATATTTACACTGGTACCCTTTATGAAACCACGATAGAGTGGCAAATCCAATGCATCAGCATATAGGTCAATGGCACGGTGTCCTACTGTCTGATACATATAGCTGTCCAACTCATCAGTCTGCCCTGCCACAATGAAGAAACAACCACATGAGGTACATTATCTCAACAATTACAGATCATCACAATAATAAAAAGCACTGAGAAAATCTAAATGTTAGTATTTTTCAGTTCACAAACAGATGTTTGGTGACAATACCTTTATAAACATGGAAAGAACAAAAAAAAAAAATAGATTTCTCCACCCAACAGACGCATGGAGAGGAAGACATCTGTCACAAACATGCTGTCTATTTGGAAATTGTGGTGTCTATTTCTTCTTTACTACTCCTCCCTGCTTCATCCAAAAATCTCCTAGCAGTCCAATTCTGCTCCTATTTATATGGAAATTTTAATAGGATCACAGTTCAGAGGCACAAATCCAGACACATTTCAGCATACTCAGAGCAAGAAATCTGGAATGCACTGCAACACTGAGAAAAAGCAATAGGTTGCCAAAATTCCTAAAAACTTTACTGTTAAAATTGTTATCATGCTCATCAAGAAAGAAGAGGAAATTATTTCTGCTTAAGTTTAATAAAAGTAGACCGCTAAAATGTTTTGACACTGCTTAATACACAAAAAGAAAAGGAAATCTGTTACAATATCCAGGCCCTTTCTACCTTCATTCCTTTTAGAAATTAAGCTTGAAGTTGTATCAATCCTTTGCCACCATTTCCTTAATGAGGAGAAAAATTTAACTTAATTTCCTTACAAGCAGTGTGTAGCTAGCAGATGAGGAAAACAAAGCTAAAATGCAGACATCATGGATTAGAATCAAATCTCAAACTATACATTAAACAATTCACATATAAAATGTTTCACATAATTTTTCAAACAGATTGATAAAGCAATACATCACTATCGGTGAAATCACCACTTTATTTATTAAAAGCTATCACAGTTCACTATTTTAATGTTAATTTGTAATACTGGAACTTTTCTTGATTTAAACAGACAAGTCAAGCATCTCTGCTGTATACCTCTGTAGCATATCTGCAATATGTGACAACAGGGTCGAGTGCCTATGGGTGAGAATCAAGGGGAAGGCCAACAAGTCAGATATCATGGTGGGAGTTTGCTATAGACCACCTAACCAGGATGAAGAAATAGATGAAATATTCCACAGGCAGCTGGGAGAAGCTTAACGATCGCTTCCCCTTGTACTTGTAGGGG